GATTTTTTTCTGAGTTGGCACATCTCTAAGACAATTATTTTTTAAATATTACATTACCAGAATCAATTATCTGAACACGAATATCAAAACAACTCATTTTTTTTTCACATTTCTTGATTCCGTTTAAGTTTTCAAAAAATCTTTAGACTATATTTAATAATAAATTGTTATCTTTTTTTTGTGTGTGTGATTGCTTAAAATTGCTCGTGGTCCCAAAAATTATTGTCTCCTTTGTCATACAGATTGATCGTATTGATAAACTTTTATTCTTAAATTTTTGATTTATATATTTTGGACTTTGTCCTTTATATATTATTATTTACTTTATAAGTACGAAGATAATTATGATAACTAGTAAAAATATTGTATGTTTCAGATTGCAAAGTGGGATGACAGAAAAAAAATATGTAGTGTCATATTTGATGAGATGGCCATTGAAACTGCACTAACTTATGCTGCTCACAAAGACAACATTGTAGGTTTTGTCGATTTAAATGGTAAAATCAATGAATTTGCAGATCATGCCCTCGTATTCATGCTACGAGGTGCTGTTTTTAAATGGCAGCAACTAGTCGCCTTTTACTTTTGTGAAGGTGCAACATCAAGCCTGCAATTAAAAAAGATAATTAAAAATATCATATCTGCACTGACAGACATAGGGCTTAAACCAATTGCCCTTGTATCTGATCAAGGATCAAGTTTCCAATCTGCTGTAAACAGTTTATTAGATGATACTAAAAGAGAACAACTTCGTGCTGGAGAGACAGTTGGTAAGTTAAAGACCTGGCAATCTATTAAGTAATAGGATGAAGTTGTACTAAATACTTCTAAGTGCAGGAAATTGATTTTGGACGTGAGTTCGACTTGCTCAATCTTGACTGTTGTTTTTTTTTTCAGATGACACCATTCATTTAAATGGAAATTCATTAAGTGTGATTTTCGATCCACCTCATTTACTGAAAGGGATTTGAAACAATTTACTGACAAAAGATATGATGTTCGAGGGAAAGAGAGTGACATGGAATGATATTGTAGACGTTTACAATGCTGATTGCAAGTACGGTGAATCAAGAATATTACATAAATTGACGGATCAACATGTAATTCCAGACAAAATTAAAAAAATGAAGGTAAATGTCCTGAAATTATATATTTATTTTAGACTTTAAATAGAGATCTACCTATCTTATTTTTAACGTCTCATAACATTTAAGAGTTATTTTATTATTATAACAACATGCTTAATTTTGTATTTTAGGTGAAGAATTGTGTGCGCGTTTTGAGCAAGTCAGTATCGGCAGCACTATCATATAATTCTGCTTTTCGTAAGTGCTTACCTACCTATATTTCAGTTTATGTTGTATAATTTATAATGTGTGTTAAATCGGTATTTTTTTCTAATTTTAGCTCTATATCCAGATGGAAGTCCTATAAGTAAAACATTGAAAAACACAGCAGCAGCGGTATCGTTTTTTGACGACTTGTTTGATAGTGTCAATGGAGCGAGCACAAATGAGAAAATGTCGAAAGGAAAAAATCTGCGCAAGGTAGTAACACTTAAATCAGCCCATCACGAGTTTTGGAACAAAGCCATTAAAATATTGCAAGGTATAAAATTTATTTGCAAAGATGGCACACTAAAAAGTGTACCTTCCTTAAAAAATTGGATCATCACTCTCAAAAATTTAAAAAGGGTGTGGGAGTTATTGGCGTCGAAAAACATTAAAATTATGAGACCTAGATACTTCAATTCTGACATAATAGAGAACTTTTTTGGCCAAGTACGAGCCTACAATTACCGGAGTAATGACCCAACTGCTTATACTTTCATAAATACATTCAAATCATTATTGGTAACAAGATTTATAAACTTTCATTCGGAGAGTTACAATTGCGAGGAAGATGTCAGCCAAGGCGTATTAGATATACAGTCCCTTTTTGAGAATGTAAATATTGCACCATCATCTGATTCTAAATCAGATGCCACACCTGTGTGTAAAACTGTAGAATTTGTTGTAGAAATTTTTGAAGAACAGGCAAGACGAGAAAGGATTAATATACACTCAAGGACATATACGGCTGGATGGGTAACCAGAAAAATTTTATGTAAAATCAATTGCAAAGAATGCAAACATAGTTTACTGTCGGAAGATAGCAATATTCATGATTTTATTAAACAAAAAGAATATAAAACAAAAAAAAAACTAGAAAATTAATATATCCATCCGAAAATGTTGTAAGAAGTTTTGGAAATGTAATAAAAACAACAAATGAATATTTGGAACAACATGGATATCAAAATAACATTAGTGAAAGAATAAAAAAGGAAATAAGTTCCAAATATTCATTTTCGTTTCTCGATTGCGAGTTGCACAAAGATATAGTTCTTGAAAATTTTTTGAAAATATCTATTAAACTCTGCATTTTTAATTGGTGCACTGTAATCAATAAATTATTAAAAGGGACTGATGTAATGAGGGCCGAAAAATTTAATTTACTGCCAATGCAAAAAAAAGCTCTAAATAAGTACAAGAGAAAATTGAAAAATAAAAACTTAAATAAATAATTATGTAGACAAACGCTGTTTTATTTATTATACCTGCAATGCATTTTAAAATATTAAATTAATTTGTAATACTTCTCTACGCTGCTGTAATATTATTTGGCTGTATGGTTCTTGTTCCATTACCTAATGCTACTAGCATTTACAAGTACAAAAAAAGTCATATTCAATTCTTGCATACGATTCAAAGACAATATACGTGACATGGCGGTCTGAAACGTTAGTTTCTCTATCTGGTCTGTGATATATACTGCGCAGTTTTTGCTTTTTAAACAATATAAAGGTCTGCCCAAAAACTTCCCATGAGCTGTTATTAGATTGCGTTCCGCTTCGTTCGGAAACGGAAAACAATACAAGTCCTTTGGAAAAGTGCTAAATGTACAGATAATATTATAATGCTAAACAATTTATAAAAATGAAATATATCAAATCTAACAATGCGAACCGATGGATGTCAATGCCGTGAAATCGCAAACTAATATTATATTTTGTTACCGATGTGGCGATCGTCATGGTGGTGTGTGTCGTTTCATAAATGCTGTTTGTAATTTTTGCAAGAAAAAGGGACATATTGAAATAATTTGCTCAGCTAAAAAGAAAAGCCGTAAGGGCAATATAAATTATACACAAGAGTTAGACACACATCTTAACGGCATTTATAATTTTGACAGTTTGACTTCACGGGTACCGGCATATAGAATAAAACTTCTATTGGATGGTGTGCCAGTGATCATGGAGATGGACTCTGGATCTGCTTTCTCAATCTTGAATGAAAACACATGGATGCAATTACACCCTCGAACTATACTAGACATAATGCCTAACAAGTTACGTACGTGGAACAACTCTCCGGTACAAGTAATGGGACAGGCTACAGTACAAGTGCAATTTAAAGACATTAAGTGTAATTTGAATGTTGTTATAGCTAAGGGCACGGGCCCAAATCTATTAGGTCGAAACTGGTTTAAAGCATTGGATATTACTTTAAATACTATTCATACGATTGACATTGATTTGACAGATATTGATAAAGTACTTAATAAATATAATACTGTTTTCAGAGAAGGGCTTGGTACATATAGAGGGAACCCTGTAAACATACAAATTAAGCCTAATACCGTTCCTAAATTTTTAAAAGCTCGACCAGTGCCTTTTGCGTTAAAAGAAAGGATTGAAAAGGAAATCGATCGTTTAGTGGGGGAGGGGGTACTTCGCCCCATATCTTTTTAGAATGGGCGACACCAGTAGTTCCTATAGTAAAAAAAATGGAGACATACGACTTTGCGGAGACTATCGAAGTACGGTAAATCAAGCTACTGAGTCAGATACGTACCCAATGCCCACGGCTAGTGAAGTCTTTGCAGTTATTACAGGTGGTTCTTATTACACGACACTTGATTTAGACAGAGCATATACGCAAGTGGTGGTCACAGACGCCACAGCGAAGCTTTTAACTTTGAATACATGCAAAGGATTGTACACCGTACACAGATTGGCATTCGGCGTGAAGGCCTGTCCGGGAATATTTCAACACTTGATGACAGCACTGCTAGCAGGTATACCAGGTGTAGCCGTGCTGATTGATGACATCATCATTAGCGGCCGCACATTGACAGAAATGACTCAACATCTTGAAATAGTATTGGATCGCATTGAAAGAGCAGGATTGCGTCTTAATAAAGACAAATGTAAATTTGCTAAAAGACGCGTGGAGTTTTTAGGATTTGTGATCGATGCGGATGGTATTCATCCAGCTCAGAGCAAAGTTGAATCGATTCTTAAAACTCCGGAACCTAAAAATATACAGCAGTTACAAGCATTTTTAGGCCTCTATAACTTTTACGAGAGGTTCATACCTCACAAAGCAACTATTCTTGAACCTCTACATAGATTACTCGATATGTCACAAATGTGGCAATGCACTGACCGGGAACAAAATAGTTTCGATACCGCCAAGCGTTTACTTTCTTCAGAGCTGACTCTTGTTCATTACGATCTTAATAAGCCATTGGTTCTTACCTGTGATAGCTCTGAGTACGGCGTCGGCGCTGTATTATCACACATAATGGAGGACGGAACAGAGCGACCTGTTGCGATGGGCTTTAGGACCTTACATGCGCATGAGAGGCGTTATTCCCAATTGGATAAAGAGGCCACTGCTATCATTTTTGGGGTAGTTAAATTTCACAATTATTTGATGGGAAGGCCTTTCACAATAGTTACAGACCACAAGCCATTGCTTGGTATATTTGATCCTCAAAAGCCAATGCCAGCGATCTTGTCACCTCGGTTAACTAGAATTGCGTTAATACTCACGTCACACAACTACAATATTGTTTATAAGCCAGGTAGAGTAATTGGAAATGCTGATGGTTTAAGTCGATGACCACAGCCAGTTCCAGATCAACCAGAACAACAGCTTTGTGATGTTTTGCTTATGGCGGAGACGCCTGCTGATTTTCCAGTGGATGTTGATCTCATAGCATCGGCAACGAAGAGAGACCGAACTTTATCGCGAGTAAGTCATTACGTACTAAGCGGTTGGCCTGACAGAGTCACGGACAGTGAACTGCGTCCGTATTGGTTACATCGTTCTGAACTCTCATTTCATGAAGAATGTATTTTATTTGGTTGTCGCGTAGTGGTGCCACCATCGTTGCGTGAGCCTTGCCTAGGTGCCTTACATAAGACACACGCTGGTGTCGTGCAAACAAATGCATTGGCCAGAAGTTACGTTTGGTGGCCGCAATTGAATCATGACATTTAAGTTTTAGTAGGTGAATGCTCAAAATGTTTAGAAAACAGGCACATGCCCCCTAAAACAAGCTGTGAATGGATTACACCATCTAAACCATGGTCTCGAATAAATGTAGACTTTGCCGGACCTTTTCAAAATAAGACATTTCTGATTGTCGTCGATGCCTATTCGAGATGGCCTGAGGTATTTATTGTAAACAATATGACTTCTGGAACAGTTATTCGACATTTAAGGAATATGTTTGCAACACATGGATTGTGTGAAACTTTAGTTTCAGATAATGGAACAGCATTTGTATCGACAGAAATGAAAATATTTCTTGAAGCGAACAAAATTAAACACGTTACTACAGCACCTTATCACCCGACTACTAATGGTTTAGCTGAAAGGATGGTCCAAACCATTAAGGATAAACTACGAAAGATGGATGATATCCCATGGGATATCAAACTTCCTAACATTTTACTAGGTTTACGTGTTACACCTTGTACAGCAACTAAAAAGAGTCCAGCGGAACTTTTAATGAATAGGCGCCTACGTACTTTGCTGGATACACTACATCCTGATAATCACCAGCAAAGAAAAAGAACACAACAAATTATTAGTAACGCTCAAAAAATTAATAGAGAATCAGAGACGGGCCAGAATGTTATGTATCGGAATTATGGTAATGGGCCAAGATGGTTACCAGGAACTATAGTAAATAGAAATGGACCATCTAGTTATGAGATTACTACAGAAGATGGATCTTTGATAAATAGACATATTGATCAATTAATTAACAGAAGACAATCTGAAATGAGTGCGATAACCCGGAGAGAGGATGAAGAGATGTCCAAGAAGGAAGATATCGCAGATAATAGTGAAATAATGGACAATAACTTAGCAGAGGAAATTACTGGCTATAACTTAGAAAAAGATAAGACAGATAATGAGGTAAGAGAAGAAATTATTGAAATACCTAGTCAGGAGAAATGGGCGGAAATGTTAGGTATACCAACTAATATGGAAGTTACTTATTCTGGGGGAAAAATTAGGAATAAAATGAATGTTCATTCTAAGTCACCATATGAGAGACCTAGTAATAACTTTATAGCTTAAGTTTACTGATTATAATAGAAATATATATTTAGTTTATATAGATGATGTATTAGAAGTTGGTTGTTGAGTTTGTAAGTAATGAATATTGTATGTACATACTTGAGGGAAAGGTATGTTATATCATAGATTGTTATAAATAGTTATGAAGGTGGGTACTTGCATAACGTTGTTAAGAAATAATGTCAGTTAAGTCAACCAGTTTGTCATTAGTTTTGCTACCTAGCACAATACACGTATTTACCTAAATTACGGTGTTTTATTGGATATAACACTTCCTTAAAACAAGAAAGGCCCATATTTATGTTTTAATAATGGAATGACCTGGTGACTATAGTCATTACATTGTTCAAGACATCAGCTTACTGAATAACAAAAGATTATAGGAAAGTTCTTCAAAAAGCATAATAATATTTTTGTATGTGGTAGAGCCATGCTGCAGCTATATTAGTAGTATAGTTGTAGCACGAATGGGTCGGCTCGACCGGGGAAGGACCACGCTCTCACAGAATACCAGCGAAAAATAGCAGCTTAACACTGCTGTGTTTCGTATGGTGAGTGTAGAGAACCGGAGACCCTTTTACTGGAAAAGAGGCATTCCATCTTAGTCCTCACGGGTGACAATGTATCTACATTTTGATTCGCAAACGAGGATAAATGTAGATTCTATGGGCCACAGCAACCACTTACCAACAGGTGGACTGTGTGCTCGTTTGTCACCCTATCCTATATAAAAAAAAATATAGAAAATAAACATTTCACTCTCTATAAATATCATATTAAATGTAAAACAGTACATAAAATTTGCAATTTTTATTCATTTCAAGCCTTATTTACCTTCAATTAAAGGACATATATATAAAACTATCTAAGAAATAGTAAAAATACATTATTGATATTAATAACATTTTGGTATAGAAAATAACATCCATCCATCTATCCATCCATTACAGCCTATAAAAGTCAATTGCTGAACATAGGCCTCTCTCATATATTGCTTCATGGGGTTATTTTGCTATAGTTGTCACACTTGGCAAGTGGGTTGATAATTATTTTGAGTTGTTATAGTTGTATAGTAGGAAGATGCTACTGCCCATCTGTTTCATTTTCCCTCTGTCGCCTCTTAGAACACTCAGGACGATATGGGGTAATGGATATTTTTACATCGCCACTACACAGTTTAAAATATCATCATGGTCACATATGATATATTACATTTTACTTATACCATACAAATAGAAGAGGTATTGTTTCTCGTTCTAGGATAGTAAACTTCCTAAGGCGACTTTTGCCTACTCTGCTACTAAATTCTACATCATAGATTTACTTTGTCACTTCAATCTTTCTCTATATGTGACCAAAACGTAAAATTGTTAATTGTAATTTCAACATCATAGAGAAACCTGCATGACTGAGGAATAAAAAAAAGAACCAAAAAATATTTCAAAGACATGTAAAGTTCGCCACCATGCATTATGGCAGCATGACATGTACTTGCTCTAAAATTGTGAAGACGCCTTTGCCCAGCTATACATATATAAGTGTGTAGCAGCAGGACATATATGGGCTGTAACTTTATTTTAGTTTCATTTGGTTTTATTTACTGCAGTCTTCACAATATGCTATATTGCAAACTGATAAGCTGATATATTCTAGTTAGCTAATACACCATTACTCTTCATAATTATACAGAACCGGCTGTGTTAAAAACACTACAAGTCCAGGTAATAACATAATTTAAAAATTTTGTACAACCAACTTCAATATAAGTTATTAAGAATAACTCAAAAACGATTGGTCTGACCTTGATCAAATTCATATGGGGCCACACGAGAAGTATCAGCTTTCATATAAAAAAGGAATTATCGAAATCAGTTCACCCAGTAAAAGGTTATGAGGTAACACACATAAAAAAACATACAGTCGAACTGAGTACAAAAAGGAGACATTTTTAGAAGTCGGCAGAAAATATAATGCCATTAATGCAGCATAATCCATGTTAAAGATATGCCGCGAACTCACCTTTTCATCGTCGAAAGGTGTGTTTACGCGTGTCTCTAGATAGCCTAAGACGCCGACGTAAATAGCGACAACAAGTCAAAAGAAACCGACACCTGTTTTCCAAAAAGATAAGAGTTTAAATGCACGACTGGCATCGGCTTAGCTTTCCATTGACGTCAGTCGAGTTTGGTGTTGATACGTATTTTTACAGAAAAGTTACACTATTATACAGAAATCCTTCTGAATCAGTCCCCTTATTTTTTTATGATGAAGGGGATTTTTTTCTCATAAAATTGATTTATATTTACATTATAAATGCAAACATGAAAAAAATTTCGATATTTTAGAAATCGATTTTTTGGGAATCGATACATCAGCTTACAATTCGAATCTATTTAAAAAATCGATCTTTTTCGGAAAGAATCGACATCCCTACTGACAATAATAATAAAAATGGCGTCATTTTCATGGTAGGAATTGACTAAATATTGCAAAATTATATGATTTACAATATTTTTTTCTCAATAAGTACGTGTTTCCGCATATTGAAACTTTGTGTGTGTGCTTATAAAAATGTAATCTTTCTGTAAAAATACGTATCAACACCAAACTCGACTGACGTCAATGGAAAGTCGTACCACTTTTCTTTGCCTTACCATCTTAATTTGCCATAAAATTATAAATTAATTTGAAATACTTTATTTCAAAGAATTAGCAAAACTGGATAAGCGGCATTCACTTAGCAGTTGCAACGTCTGCAACAATGATAATAGCAGTGATAGTGATAGCGATAGGATTGGGCATAAAATATCGATATATCGATATATCAATATTTTTTAATAAAAATATCGATATATATCGTCGATATTTAAAGTCGCGGTATATCGATATTTATTTTAGAGTATCGAATTCGTATAAATTTCAATTCATTTCATTCAAATGATGACGATATATCGATATATCGATATTTATCACGGGATATATATCGATACTGTTTAAAAATATAGATTCGATATATATATCGATATATTTTTTCCCTTTACTCATCCCTAGATAGCGATACTCAGGGGTAAAGGCGGCTCTTCACGTTGGCTAACATACTGGCGAATGTGTTGGCCAACACATTCGCCAGTATGTTGGAACACCCGCTCTACACGATGGCCATCGTTGGCCATCGTGTAGAGCGGGTGTTTAAGCTACGTTGGTACGTATTGGAACGATGGCCCACAAGTTGGTGCGAGATCCGTCTGGTGTCGGTTTTTTTACAAAAGATCAAAGGGTTGTGGCAGAGTATTGGCCGCCGCGTCCACACGTTGGGCGCACGTTCAGTTTGCTACGAGCTCCCAGAGTGATTGCACGCACCTGATTTAAATTTTATATGCACGCATCGTAACTAGTGTCTACATAACGGCAGTAACAATGACCAATATAGCTCAATATAGGTCTATAAAGCGAATAAAACTTTTCGCTTTATAGAGCCCTACCAAGCCGAAAATTGTTTGTGAAACACAAGTCTTTTTAAAAAAAAAACGTTACCCCCATACTAGGATTTTCTTCTGTATCGTGGAGGCAGTTTAAAATATAAATTGCATAAGGACAAACATCCAGACCCGGAGCAATCATGTGCAGGCTATACAAATACTTGTTCCATGCGGGATTCGAACCCGCGGCCCCCAGCGCAGCAACTCAATGCTAAGCCACTACGCCACGGAGCCCTCAAGAAATAAAATTTCTTTTTTTTCCATTTCTTATACACATTCACGTTGTAGTGATTGATGTATTAATTTATTTATTGGTGTATTAATTGATTTATTGATGTATTAATGCTATGAGACTAGGTAGGATACTAAAATCATGTTTTTACTGCCTTTATTATTCCCTATTAGTTACTTTATTTTTAGCTATGGAAGAGCGAAGTCACCTGTTACGGGATTTATTTTGCTTACTAACTTTAATGTTTGACTAAATAAATTATTTATTATTATTATTAAGTTCCCCATATGTACTACTTTGTGCATGAAAGTTTAAATAAATAAATATATTCTATAATTATATAATAACCCTTTTTAAAAAGGTTTTGTTTAATAAAAATTTTACAACAGTTTCACAGACAGGCTTCGAATATTTTCCAGGCCTTAGTTGTAAAAGTGTTAATTATACCTATGCCTAGGTGTGTTATAGTTTACTTATCTGTATAACGTTAGTGTATAATAAAGAAATATTAAAAATTTATATTAAAAATATTAAATATTAAAAATAGTGAAAATTAAATAAAAAATAGTGGTATGCTGTGAATAAATAAACCGCAACAGCCGTTAGCGCTTCAATAATCATTTTAATAAATTCGTCCGCACATTGGCCTGAACCGAAGCAAACTGAACGACCTTCCAATTCCAACGTGTGGATGCGATCACAACTTCTTGGCCAATATCTTTGCCAACACATTCGCCACTATGTTGGCCAACGTGAAGAGCCGCCATAAGACAATTCCATATATTGACAGATTTGGGGTCTTTTTTTGCAAAATGCGACATCTGTTATCCCCATCCAAAACAATTAGTTACTTCATGTCACCGCAGATGGCGAAACCATCGATATAAATATAATTTGTGACTAAAAGATAAGTTAAAAACTGTTAGTATCATTAACTTAGCATTTTATTTAACACGTAGTGTAATTATTTGTGTATATTACAACCTGCGTAATAATTACCATAGCAATACAGTGAATTATTGATTTTTTTTATTGATTGTCAAATTCAAATGTCAAATTGTCAGGATGTCAGGTGAAAAATATGGCGACTGCTCCTTACTGGAGGTGGGCAAAGTGTATGATTTTTGGGATTGGAACATTTGCATCTTGATCACTGAAATGTTCCGAAACACTGATATGTTTCATTTGGCTCATTTGTATCATCGACTCCAAAAGATATGAAAGAATGTTCCGAATACATTAAGTTGCGTCGCGGGCGTTTATTACTGACTGATCCGTGAAATGTTATG